ATAGAGTATTTCGTTTGCCCTGGATCCTTCGAGCCAGTGACTCCATAATGTGTCCTTCAACGCAAGTGTAACAACAGAGCCATCTTCCACAGAGATTTAAACCCAAACCAGGCCCAACCCTAATTTTTTACGGTAGTTTTGTTCAAGGATGGAGCGATCGGGGAAGCGTTGCCATGTGAGGTTGCCTCATTCGAGCGGCGCTGCATTGAAGAAGATCCGACTAGATGAGATGGCAAAGAGACGAAGTCGAGAGTACGAAGAGCTGTGGACATCGACTCCAATAATCGGCTCCGAGAAAGATCAAAACATCGAAACAGTAGCCGAGTGAAGTTCGTTATCAGCCTGGGATTAGTTTGTCAAAGAAAAAGCCGATTTTTGAAATAATATTTCGAAACCGACTTTCCCTGAACCTCGGTGTCACTAATCAATATGTATTCTTTCTTAACAATAACAAGCGAGGATCATCGACTCGGATCATCGGCTCTGAGGAAGACGGAGACGTCGAAACGTTAGCCGAAAATAAACATCATTATTAACCTCGTGTAAGCTCATCGAAGAAAGAATACATTTTGAAATAATGTTTTCTGTTAGACGCAGTGGGATCCACCACATGAGGCGTTTCGTTTTCCACTGATAGACTCAACCTTTTGTGGACCTCATAAATACGAGCGTTTCATTGAAAGCCGATTATTTCGCTCCCAATAGTCTCAACTGGAATTGACAGTCTACGATATATATGGTGATTATCCGAAAGTTTCTCTGACATTTTAGAAGTACTTGAGCTTTTCCGCGAAAGCATTTCCAAGAAACTTGTGCTGTTTGAGCATTGGCCATGAGCAAACTTATACACCATACCTTAGATCTATTTATAAACTTGAAGCAGTGCTAAGCGCCTATTTAACCGATTTAGAGTTTAAAAGGAAATTCATCCGAAAAATTATCAGAGACAATAGAGCGATTTAGATGACAGCACCAGCACAAGAAACTGAGAGTTGGATCCATGAAAATATGAACAGTAACAAAGTCGAACGTTTACGAAATCAAAACGTTAAGCGAATAATATGCAGAACGCAAAGTTTCTTTCCTACTTCTTAAGCTAAAGTTCATATCGGTTCCAGTAGTTTGGGTGTTCAACCGGCAACCGGATGTGTTTGCCTAAGCAGCGGTGAGCTTTTCAGCTGTACTACAACCAATCGATATCACACTTGTGTCGGATTTAAGCGGATCGGAACTACGTCCTCACCACCATCCTACTTCTACTACTTCGCTATTAACATGTTTCGTCTGTCTGGTGTTATATTCTTTGAAACATTCGCGAATCGCTCTTGCATTAGTTTTTTCTTCGGTCAACGTTTTTATCCCTGAACTATTCTTTAACCATCAAGTGTTCGAAAGAAAGCGATTAAAATTTCATTTTTCGCTCTTGTTCAAGTGTAAACCAAAAGACCTTTCTAATTCTTTTTTCGTCTACAATTGGAAAGGATCGGAACTTAGAACGACTCAATCGTTTACTTCCGAATTTTGGAATAATCCGCATGGATTCGTTGTTTCGACACACATGACTTCTTCTCGCTCACTGTAGTATTTCCAGCCGCTGAACTATTACAATTTCTTAATAACTCAAAAGACCGACTTTCTATAAGCCTCGGCATAAATGGTTAACATATTTATTTATATGACTTATAAACTGATCTTTTTTAGCTGATGCGAGGTTGGTATAGGCCTTCGTTGTTATTGTTGTTGTTGTTGTTGTTGTTGTTGTTTTTGATGTTATTGTCGTTGCTCTTTGTGTTGTTGCTCGATGGCTCACGTTTCGGCGACTTCGCCTTCCTCAGAGCCTGGACGTATTTTATATTAGAATATTTTTTATTATTCGGTGGAAAAGAAAGGTTAAAGCATTAATGGAGATCAAACTTTCAAATAGACGTCATATTGAACAGAAAGGCCATTCACCGTGATGTTGCGGGACTGGCCCACGCGTTGTTTTCGTGGAGTCGCGAGTAAGACACACCCCGGGGTCAAAATGTTACAAGTGCTATTACAATTTCGGATTTATAAATGGTCTTCTACTCAGAATTTTTACATGGAGATGAAATTGGAACGTTTAGCCAACACTCTGGTTGCGGACGGATGAATACAGATTTCTTAAAATTTTTCATTTTTCGCTCCGCTGACTTCGCTAGTTCTTCCCTTTATGCTGCAAAAATTCTGCTTTTTCTACTTTTGCGTCTTCCTTCTACGTAGGCAGTCACGAGGCGCGTGATGATCATCTTCGCAAGTTGGAGGAGTTGCACACAAAATCACGAAAAATGAGGAGCAAGAATGAACACTCCGAAGAATGCCTTCTTCCTAGTTCATAGGTTTGTCTCATAGAACGAGTTTTTTTTTTGGTTTTTGGAATGCTACGCACGGTATTTCTGCACAAAATAAAATCATCCGGATGTTCGTTATTCCTAAGACTAATTTGTGCAGAACCTCCCACCATGTGCCTGAAATGGTTTTAGTCCTGGGAAAAGCAAAGACAAGAGATGGCAAATCCTGCTTCTATCAAGAACTGTCTGAACTCCACGAAGAACATCTTGTCTAATCATGAAAGTACTGCTCATGTTGAAACTGCGTTGAAAGCCAAAATCCTAACCATGTATTCAAAAACGTTCACAGTTCATCAAAGGAAGTCACCGTCTTTTCTGGCAGTCATCAACCACATGCGACTATAATCAGCTGTTCTAAACTTCCTCATTGGAAGTCACGAAAAAACGGCTCTGAAGAAGGCGATACTGCCGAAACGTCAGCTAGCGTTGTATTGTATTGTGTTTTTTATGGAAGTAAATGTACGCTGTTTAAAAACCTCTCGATTGCTGAACAAGAAAACGACACATTCATATTCCAATGCCGAGGTTAAGAGAAAGTCGATCCTGGGAACTATCACCATCTTTTTTAAAACGGTGGAAGCTTTTCCCAGACAATTCAGTCACCAGTTTCCGAGAGCTAGAAGACTTGGATGGTCTGAAAGGGTCAAATCAGCGACGTTGTTTGTGTTTCACGGCATCATTAACCGTTAATCTCCTCACGTCCCATTAAAATGTTAAGTGCCTTTTTCGAGCAATTTATACTTATACACTATTTCTTCACACAATTATTGCTCCGCTGTGTGAAATTTTATACAGACAACGGATTCAGTTATTTTCGAACAGTCTTTGCAGCGTAGGTGGACGACTCCTTCATAAAAATAATCACATTATGTAGCCAACGCAAAGCTCTACGTAGCATCCTCGCAGTCGTGCATTGCACGACAACGAGATTTTTGTAGAGAGACTATTTATGTTCAATCACAGATTTACCGACAACATCGTCGTATTCTCTGCTAACAATACAACAGCACTTAGGCCGTCCTTTTCCATATATCGTCTAATGCCTCATCATTTCCATATTTCGATTTGTTGTCTTACAACTGTCACATAAGTAAGTAGTCGATACACGGATTCAACTACAGCTTTAGATATTTGCGAAACTGCGGACCGCAGGTGTCTGTAGTGGAGAACGAAAGCGTTGTTACCCTTTTTGGGGGCTAACGCGTTCACCTCCACACCATGCGAGCCCTTTGTTCCGCCAATCTCTCAGCTAGTTCTATCGATCAGCCTCAGCAACAATCACCCGTCAACGGGATTGATCTAGGAAGCCCAAATCTGCATTGAACCCAGCTAAGCTGAGAAAAGTTGACTATAGTTGAAAAGTTATTAGTTGGTGAAAATAAAAAATTAGCATTGTGGTTTCAACTACAGCCTCAGTTTAACTGGGTTCAATGCCTAGGGCTTCCTAGATCAATCCCGTTGACAGGTGATTGTTGCTGGCGCTGATCGATAGAACTAGCTGAGAGACTGGCGGAACAAAGGACCCGCATGGTATGGTGGTGAACGCGTTAGCCCCCAAAAAGGGTAACAACGCTTTCTTTCCCCACCGCAAACACCTGCGATCCGGAGTTTTGCAAATATCTCAGCATCATTGTGGTTGTATTTTGCATTAAGCCCTGCCGAGAAAAAATTTTAGTATGCAGCAAATAAAAAGTTAGCATTATTGCTTTAGTATTTGTAAACACTTAACCTCCTTTCCAAGTTGCATGCTAGCTGAGCATACTTTCTCTTGCATATCTGAGATAAGCGCACTAAACGTTTTCGCCTCAAGTGCTCTCTATCTTTATGGATCAATAGGCAGTTTGCCACCTTACCTTACGACCGGAATATTTCCCATAGCTGCAGTGATGTCGTAACTAAAGCATCTGAGGAGAAAACGGTATCCTAGTTATCTGATCGATAGCATTCTCAAAAACCGTGAGTGCATATCCTCTACTTAAGGGAGGAAAGCATCAACTAATGGAACCCAAAATTCGAAACCATAATAACCCTACAATGCTTGTCTTTCTGTTCTTCAAACAAAACACTATTCAATAGATTTTATTGTTTTACTTTCTTAATGGGCTAAACTACCACTCATGGCTCTCTCTAGTCAATTATTCTTTCTACTACCTATAATTCTAGCAGAAAAATAGTTCACCATCGGTTATGATAACCCTCTTCAACCTCACGCTGGCCTTAGGTGTTCGAAAGTACTGTTGTAGTTCTTCTGTGGGTGCTTAAAGTGACCACTGCTGTTTATATTTGAATATATTGTTCCAATGCTTTTATCCATCGCATTTGCAATCACTCAAAGATGGTCATGTTTTCCAGCCATCAATATTTTCTAGAACATTAACATGTCACGAGAAATTTAATTGACTGTCATATATTCAGTGTCACGCAAAATATTACAATGGAAAGCCATGTTTTTAGGTAACCTTCTTGCTTCTTAATCGGTATCGATTTTTAAGGGGATCGGGTCATTGCTTTCATCATGTCATGAACACTATTTTAAAGAGCCACTTCACTTCGGAGGATCTGGAAGTTGTTAGTTAAAGACTCTCCGTCTTCCACGTTTTCTACCTAAAAAGCAAGTGACATGCAACCATGGATATTAGTCCGTTAGACTGTCACGTATGCGGAAAGGTTGGAATATCTCTAACATTTTCTGAGATCCAGGTTGATGTTGAACCAAGGATTCAGGGTCGTTCTACAATTTCTCACGTAGTTAATCATTTCTTAGGAGCTCATATCACCTTGCCTCCTTCCGTGTCTACATTCTGTTTGTGCTAGTTGTCCTCCGTGCTGTGCAACCTCTAATAACTCGTCCTCCTCGGGTCGTTCTTCACCAGATCGACTAGCCGAATTTCTAATCGAAACCTCACATGAAACCGCTGAAATATGCGCCAATTGCGAGCAGGTTAGTCTAACTGGCTCTATATGTCTACTTAGACTTACAGATCCATTTTCTGAACCTAATCCTTAAATGGTTTTAGATTAAGCAACCGATGTATTTTTGTGAAACCTGCCAGCAAGCACTATGCCACGAGTGCCGTAACGTTGTACATCAGGTGCACAATCCAACTAAATTACATACGAAAACTGAAGATGGAACAATGAAGGGGAAACAAAGCATTTGCTTTTTTATACGGTCCTTTTTTGTAAGCTTTTAGTTTGCCTTCTGTCTACCACTATTTCCACATGTTTTTCTCCGATATCGTTTTCGTGTGGTGCAGTGGTTGGAAACACGTGAGATCGATACCCGCTCCCATGGTCCGCCAACTCTTCCATCCCTCCGGGGTCTGCGAATTAGTACCATACTTCTCTGGGAGGATAGTAGCACCGGCTCGATACATCGGTAGGCTACCGCGAGTCATTGTAAAGGACATATGCATTCAATCACCTCCAAACGATGCTTAATGAAGTCGAATGCATGGCTCATCCCTCAGGGAGTGATCAAAGCCGAGAGCTTTAAAACGATCTCTAAAAGGAGCTTTATCGTTTTCGTTTCTCAGGCAAAAATCACAGTCTCAGGTAGATCAAATGAAGCAAAGCACAGTAGATAAATTATGGCAAAAATAGACAAAACGTAAATCTCCACTAAGATATAAAAAAAGCTTACTTACTTAACTGCTCGGGTACTTGAATGGTCCGTCTTCGCTGGTTGTGCGGGCCCCAGCACAATCTCCATTTTTTTGTAGTTTTGCTGGTCCAGTCGTCGTGGTTTCCTGGAGTCTCTAGGTCATCGTAGCCAAAGTCAGCCCCAGGTTGTCCACCCCCACAAGTAGTCGCCGCCCTTGTGGATCAGACGGAAATTTGCACCAGGACTGTGGTGGTACCTGGTATTGGTTTAGTCTTAGCTGGGCTTCCTGATGGAAGCGCGGACTCCTTCTCAGTTAGGAATAAATCCCCCTGCTGTACATCGAAGCCCGACACCAAGAATCACCTCCCAGTTACGATGAGGCGGTAAACCGTTGGGAGGATAAAAAGAGGTTCATTTCTGAACGTCTACTAAAATTGGAACAATATAGAGAAGATTAACATGACCTTTGCGAAAGGATGATACGCAAATTCGTAAAGAGTTCCAAAATAAAAAAAAGACAGCAATCGACAATAGCCGTTTAGGCTCGTATGTTCGCTACACACCAGGTTGTGATAGCTGCAGAGTCGGCACGCGTACGCGGTCGCGTCGCATGCACGCTACACTCTGAGCCGTACATACTGTATTGTACGGAACAGAAAAGCCTGTCATGTATTCAGTGCTTCAATGAACGTTCACCAGAAGACAGGCATGCTACTTTTTTTTGATCATTTTATCTATTTGGTTCAAAATGTTGGTTTTTCGATGGCCTTTTCTTCATTGAAATCACCAAGCGTACACGTAAGGAAGTCATTAGAATAGAATCCAATTACTCTAGACAGTGGTTGAAGGCGCCACTGCGACACACACTTGGAATCGATTCCCGGGCCCATGGCTCACCAAACCTTCCATCTCTCCGGGGTTGGCAAATTGGTACCAGATCTGTCTGGGAGGATAGCAGCACTGGCTCGATACATTGGTGGGCCTTCGCGAGTCCAGATGTAAAGGCCAGATTCAATCACCTCCAACGATATTTAATGAAGTTGAATGCATGGTGCATCCTTCAGGGGTTGATCAATGCCGAGAGCTTTATTTATTATTTATTTATTTATTACTCTAGGCACCATTTCGTCTCCGTCGGTGCCGGTCATAAGATATGTACTGAAAAAATAGAGAAGTGGGCAACAAAGCTACGGTTATATCAGGTGAGAATGTCGCAATATTCCCACATAACAAACAGACGTTTCGTACTGGTTTATGTATGAACTCTTTAGGAGATTCATTTTTAGGAAGAAAAGCGTGAAGAACTCAAAGTGCGAGAACGATTGTTGAGTGAACAAAGTAGCGGTTATCAGGCTGCTAAGGATAGGTACGAAATGTTAACGTGTTTCAGAAGCTGTGCGTTGATTTATAGACTTCATTTGTTGCTTTATGAGATCCGGAAACCGCGGTACTCATTTTATGATACTGTTTGGTTTTTACACCAACTCTTTTTATAAAATAAATAGCTGGTTAAATTTTCCCAAGCAGCCGGTCCACTCCTTTGGAGTAATGAGTTGTATTGTTGATTTTAAGACGGAAATCCTGCAAATCTTAATAACATAGATAATTTTGATTTATATGGCGATAGATTACCTCTCATTATCATTTCAGTCTCTACCAGTTATGCCAGCAAATTCAAGATACTGTGTTGTCAACCCGCGACCGTCTAGCACAAGAATTAGAACAAGCCTACAAAACAGCGGAGGAAACTTGTCGTCAGCAAGTCGAAGAAATTTTTTCCATTATGGTAAATAATTTATGATATTAATCGGCTATTTATTTTATTTTAACGAGCCGTCATCACACCAGGAGAAAGTAGCACAGTGGCAGTGATATCCGATCATCACGAGAACGCTACTGGTTCGACCTCGCATTGAGCTCACCAAGCCTCTTACCCCTTCTGAGTCAGGAAATTGCTACTGGACTTGTCTGCGAGAAATTCATTTTCTACAATCCAAGTGAGAACGCTCTCCCGGCTATCTCATTACTGAGAATCGACCATCGTTCAGCGACATTCGTATGGAAAAGAAAATCCTCAAGTAGCAGCCAAAGTCATATGAGACATTTTTGGAGATGTTTACGAGGGAATGAATCGAATGTAAGAAGTGTTGCGATCCGCATGGTAGATGTGAAAGGTGGGTTGTTTAAACAAAATTGAAAATGTCACCACACCTACCGTGTGGGTCCCACCACTTCTTGCATGCACTCGCATCTGGCGTCCACGAAGGTCCTCCAATTTTTAAGTGTGGTTTCGACTTTTGCTTGACGATTTAGTCTCCATCATGAATGTCGTAGAAGGCTGGTCAAGTCTATTCTCCTTGCAGTCTTGAAAATAGCTGAGCTAACGCGTCTACACGTGGGCTGCATCGCCAACCACTGCGCAACCTATCCTCCTCTCCTTATAATCGGCTACAATTGTAACACCTTAATCTGCTAAAAATTGTCATACTTTGTGGCATTTCCGAAAGCTTTCTGAACTTCCATATTTATCGATTTAGAAATTGACCGATAGCCTCACTTTGTAGTTATTCGTTAGCTGTAGCTTTAAGATCGTCATGCCATTATTTATTCATTCATTCTTATCCCATTTTAAATTTTATTTCTTCGTTGTATATTTCTCAATGAAAATTCTAGAGATACATGAATTCTATTAGGGACCCATCCGGTTATGCTTAATGTCGGCACAGATTCTCTGCTCTTCAGCATCTCCCATTGATGTTCTCCAGCTGTCTGGTGAACTGAACAAAAGAGTACAGGTTAGATTTTTCCTCTGCGTGACAGTTGTTCTTTTCAATTTTTTAAACTCTACCTGTGCTATTTCTTTATCCATTGGAAGATTTGTGGCAAAATGACGGTATGGTGGAAATGAAGAGTATTGAATTTATACATGGATGAATAGTAGCCGTAACATTCTTTATAGATTCACTAAGATTCATGCAGATTTGTTGTGGAAAAAAAAACTTGATCCAATTGCAAGTTGCAGGGGCGACATGGACTTGGTCATTTTACAAGCTGCCACTTTTTTACCATTTTATTAAACCGATTTCGAATGCACAATGTTTACTTTCTTATTTGATGCCCACTACAATTTTCACGGCATGGCATTATGCGAAATCAAGCACAACGATGCTAGGATATTCGTAAAATTTGGACCCCGGGCCACGGAGAAATCGTGGTTCGATTTGGCGCAATGGCCAATTTTTGCGAATATCTTAGCATCTTTGTGCTTGATTTCGTATAATGCCATGCCGTGAAAACTGTATTGGGCATCAAGTAAAAAAGTAAGCATTGTGATTTCGACTGCAGCAGCATCATCTTAACTGGGTTCAATGCTGATGTAGGCTCCCCAGATCAATCTCGTTTGAGATTGTCTGCTACTGGTGCTGGTAGATAGAAAACTAGCTGAGAGAAACGCACGCTGCGGTCTCCGTGGTGCAGTGTGTAATGCGCGAACCTCCGAAAAGGGAAATTGTGGTTCGATCCGGCCAAAGGTCGAAGTTTTGCGAATATCTCGGCATCGTTTTGGTCAATTTTGAATAGTTTTTAGTGGAAATGCAACGCAGTGATGCTGAGATATTTGCAAAAAATGGGCCCGTTCACGTTCGAACCCGCAACTATCCTTTCTGGGCAATCACGTGTTACCCACTGAACACTGTGGCCCTTGTTTTCTCTTTCTCCCATTCATTTTTTATTCTAATGGTATTATCAGAAATCACCTACTCGGGTCTGGATTCAAGGTTGCAAATATCTCAGCATCGTTGTGGTTGTATATCATACAATACTCCACCATGAAAAAATAATAGGCAATAAATAAAAAGTTGTAGATTGTGAATTTTCAGTCGATTGTCACTCGCTCGATCGACAAACTCCCTCCAATCCATGTGATTGATTCGATTGAAGCTCGTACAGAAATCGCTAAAGCTCTTGAACCGTTTCTTGGTGAGTTGGAGAGTTAATGTCGTTTGTGGCAGTTGCTCGTGATCGTGTCGCCGTTGTCCTGAACAAATGCCTTATTTAGGGTTATCGGCTGCCTGGTGCCCTGTAACTGCTATCCGTGAGCCATCACTGGAAGGTAGTGGTAGCATGAAATCCTATAAGACACGATCTGGGTAGGTTGATTCTTCTGTTTCCCAGTTTTCACTAACTGCGCGCTCCACTTCTAAAAGGTCGAAATAGAAAAATAATACTTCGAAGTGGATCAGCTACTTTCCATCCAAAATAAATATCACCTGTATCACCTGTAGTCGTCGAGTGACTCGAGAGGAAGCCAGTAAATCTTCCATTTTTCCCTGACGCGTGCAAGAGCAGCCCAGTGGGTTCTACTCGCTCTAGAGACTCGTCGAGCATCGTATCTTTCTTCAAGGGTCTTTGTGAAGAACTCTAACCGTCGGGTCGGTGGTCTTCCTGCAGTGCGTTTGACATCCCGAGGAATCCAGTCACTAACGGCTCTTGTCCATCGATTGTCATTCATACGCATTACGTGTCTGGCCCACCTTATCTTCGACTGTTTGGCGTACTGAAGGGCATCTTTGATTTTTGATCGTCGACACGGATTGGAACTTCGGATCCTAACCTTTATTTGTGCGCAACGGGTTACTCCTAGCATCGTCCTTTCGACTGCGCATTCAATAATGCTAAGTGACCTTTCATTCTGCTTACGCAGCGACCAGGTTTCTGACGCATACGTTAGGGTAGGAAGTACCGTTGAGTCGAAAAGGTGGGCACAGAGTCGGGTGTTCCTTGTTTTCTTCACTACATCCTCGATGCTCTTGAAAGCTCTCCATGCCGCTCGTTTTCTTCTGCTCAGTTCTGGAGCTAAGTCGTTCATCATGCTGATTTCCCGACTTAGATAGATGCAACTGGAGTATGCGGTGATAGTCATTCCGTTGAGCGTGAATGGGGCATGCGAAACCAATCCGTTCTTCATGAACATCGTTTTTGTGAAATTTAGTCGAAGACCAATCTTTCCACAGGCTTTATCAAAATCGTCAAGCATGCGTTCCGCTTGGCTAATGTTTGGTGTTATAAGGACGATGTCATGAGGAAAGCGAAGCGAAGGGCGAAGACCAAAGAAATATATCAAAAACAAATGAGTCTATATCGATACACCAACTCTCTCCCAGTTTCAAAATCACTGAACTGTGGTTAACTGATGACCTATCACACAGTTTTCAGCTGTACTCTTTTCGAATTATTTCACTGAGTTTTTTCAATCTGATAGTCGTGTTCGTCACCTTGCCTAAAGCGCTTTTGGCTCGTGAATTCTTCAAAAGTAGTTGATCCGATTGTGAAGACTAACTGAAATTCTCTTACCTATCAATCGTTGCCTCGTGGTGCTTTGCTGCTAGTCAGCTACTAGGAACTTAGGATTTATCAAAATACATCCATTTTTGAAATCAGTTGTTAGCTTGTTGAAATTAATTGATAAATTTCGTTCAGATCACATTCGATGCCAACAATGCTGACAAAATTCCAAACAATGATCGATCTGTCCGGTGCATTTGGTTCGATCTTTGCTCGTGTAGAAGGTGAATCGATAAAATTTTGACGGCTATATGAAGTATTAGTAAAATACCACTCTTTTCAACATTTTACACAATTCTGTAATGGTTTTCTATCACATCGTGTCTGGATAATGACCTCGGGTGCCTAACATCGTATATTAGGTTTTCAATCCCCAGCAAACTTTCCCAAACTGAAGAGCGGCTAGGTGCTTTCATCAGAAAGTAAATTTGGAACTAAAAGAATGCCAGGACTGACTCTATCACTTTTCGTAACTAAGTGGTATTACTTATCAGCTTTCGTAGTGATAAGGCCACAAAACTCCCCTTAGTTCACAAGATCCGGCGACATCCTCTTGTGATGAATTGCTAAATCCAAAGCGCGCTCATTTCGAGTCTCTCTGAGAAAAAAATCTTCCCCAACCATGTCGAAGAAAACTGTGCTATGGACCTATAAGGCTTTTTATTACAACGAGGTATTCATGGCTGCAGTATTTTCCAGAGTCTAAAGTGAAATTCCACCCAACGGTTTACCGCCTCATCGTGGCTGGGAGGTGTTCCTGGGTGTCGGACTGCAATGTGTAACGGGGGATATATCCCTTGGCAGGGTCTCCTAAGTTGAGAAGGAGTCCTGCGTTTCCATGGGGAAGTTTAGCTAAAGAGTAAACCAATACCAAGATCCACCACCGTCGTACTATCAAAGTCGCATGATGGTAAATCTCCCTCGGATCCACAAAGGTTGCGACTGCCCGTGGTGGTGAAGACCTGGGACGGACTTTGGCCAGGTTCACCTCGGGACTCCAGGAACCGTAATGGCTTAACCAACAAATCTAAGAAAAATGGAGATCATGCTGGTGCCCGCACAACCAGTGAAGGCGGGCCATTCAAGTATCAAATATCTAGTATTGTGAAATTTATTATGTAGCACCTTACTCTTCCAACAAAATGCAATAGAGTTGTGATAAAGGACTACTATAATTCTGTTTCTCAAGAAAGAGCCAAAATTTATCTCCATTATCATCTTGTCGCAGATTACCGATGTCACTCTAAACTAAGAATAACGTCATAGTTAAGTGAGGTCGGCTCGTGATCACGTATTGTCGATTTTTTAAAATATCATTCGATGTCCGAATTGAGCGCACGTAGCACAATGGTTCTCTAACTTTAAGAGGTGCGCTCTAGTATACATGGGCCCGATCCCGCCCTCCAAGCCCGCTAGGCTTTCAATCCCTCCGGGGTCGTCAAACTGGTAGCAAACCTTTCTGAGAAGGTAGCAGTACTGACGCGATAGATCGCTAGGCCACTGCGAATCATTGAGTAGACCGGATATGCATTCAGTCACCTTTAAGTATGCTTTGTGAAGTCGAATGCATGGTGCATGCCTCAGAGATCGGTAAAAGTCGGGAGCTTTATAGTTTATCTTTGCACCTTTCGACTTGGTAAATTTCAGAGCCACTTAAGGAATCATCGCTTGTCCTGAGCCAGTTGGGTGACAGAGTGCAAGAAGCACAAAGAGATCTGACGATGAGACGATGCCTAATTCGAGCCGACACTATTAACACTATGATAAAAGAGTAAGTGTGCTCGAAGGACCATCCCACATTCTCTTTGATACGGAAATATGTTGTGAATTTTGTTGATTTTTACACGGCGAAAACCATGATTTTTTTTGTATAATCTTCTATGGATTTCATGAACAGACAGTGGAGACATAGATGTTTGGAAAATAGCACAATCGCTCTGGGTAGTGGCAAGGTGTCCAATACTGAACAGAACTGAAGAACACCATGTTTATCGGCAACGGCTTTGTCTAGTAGTCTAAGGTAGTGCCCAACGGTTTGTGGAGGAGGTAGTTAGGGGATGGAGGAGTTTTTGACTTAGCATAACTACACTGCTACTCCTTTAGTTGTAGCGAATATGAAGGCCAGCGAAGCACTGGTTCGGATAGCTTCTATACATGCCATCATGGATTATGACAAAGGTCATAGCGTGTACTAAGTAAAATGTGACAACAACTTTGAATTTTGAAAAATAAACCAGTAAATTGTAGTAGATGAACTGCACTAAACTTTCACAGAAACAAATTTTTTTACAGTTGCTCGGGAGTAGAGACCCGTTTGGGGTTACATTCCGCTGTTCTTAATGATCTACAACCTGAACTACAGGAAATGTGGCAAGAGCAGCTAGACAGAGTTCGACGGCAACAAATCATCTACAGAGAGAAGGTAAGCATGTCATGTAGAAGAATGGAGTTCACACCTTAGCTCTCAGAACAGTATTTATTACAGAATGAACAAGTGATGTTCTGTTGTGATTTCGAAAGTGTTTGTTGAAACTGACTACTTTGAGTGATTGTATTTACTAATCAAAGCATTACTACTAAATGAAAGGTTGTTTTTGCTTCAGGTTGAAGAGTGTTTAACGATGCGTGAGACCGCTCGTTTAGTTCTAACGGCTGCCAAACAGCTTCTACCGTATGCCACATGTATTGAGAGCATGAGCACACTTATCGATCCAAAGTAGGTTTACACAGTGAAAGCTACCGTATGAAGGCTGGTTTGTACCACGGGTTATATTATTTGTTACCACATTTTTTTGCTGTTGCACTTAATTGGCGTACATTATTTTAAAAAAGGGACCAATTGTAGTGATAAGATGCTGAGCTAAGCACCTTTATTGCCGCTCATCCCGCACAGTATTAGCCGGTAACGGAAAAGGCTATCCTGTAGTTAGGCTACAATAAGGTTTGCTATACCTTACCATTGAGTATCGGCTGGGAGAAAGGCCTTTATGTTCAGCTTTCTAATGAGTCTGTGCTTTGTTGCTGTTTTAGAAATGACTTCTCATACGAAAACTTTCTTCCTGCAAAGTCGAAGAAATAAATCAATGATGAAATATGAAAAAAAATAAAAATAAACAATGAAAATCTGGCATTACAATATAGAGATATTTGTAAAACTCAGAATTTGGGCTATATTTCACATAATACCCTGCGATAAAAATTAATTGGCAATAAATGAAAAGTTATATAAATTAGTAATATTGTTAGGAACCGGAAGAATACAAGTTGTAAATCATGTGGCGCTGCCTCTCACAAAAATTCACCAACTTCGACATCTACTCTTTTATCCACCACTTAGGCTTCTTATCGATCATATTGATCACTATTGATCGTTATTAATTGCTATGATTTGCTTAATCTCAGACGGTGCCATCCACCAGATCCAGCTCCAATGGAGAGTATCTGTATGCAAATTACTGGTATTGAGCCAAATAGTGAAACTAGAATACAAGCAATCGAGAAGGCATGTTCATCGATTTACTGATTCCATTCGTTTTTTATCGTTGTGTTCACCAAGACAATGAAGGATAACGGTGTTAAGGATTTTTGGACGAATATATGTGGAATGTTTAGGAAGAACAAAATCGACGAGCAGTGCAAGAAGCGAAGAAAAGAGAGGAACTGGCCGAACGTGGAACGCCTGTAAAAGGCTTAAAGCATGGAAAAGCAAAACGCAAAGACACATACAGGTTGTTTCTTGAAAGAATAAAGAAAAACTGTTAAGAAATAAAACGTTCGCCATCTGACGGTCTCTTAAAACTTTCAGGAGTCTCATGATATTTTCGTTCTTAGGGATTTTTAGAATGCTGGTGAATACGAACCGAGAACGTAGTCCAGGAGGCACCGACTCAACGCTTATCAGTCCATGCCTTATAAAGAGAATGTAAGTAATTAATAACTTAATTACTCAAATGTTGTTCACGTGTCTCCAAGGATTCTCTTCTTAACGAGAACTGGAGGCAGATTACTACTGGTGCTTGTCAATAGGCCAATGAATGCTAAGATGCTGGTTTGAGGGAGCCGTGGACTTCACTTAAAGCAGTTGAATTAAGAGATGGATTCTGTTTGTTTGTGGTACACCGAATGATATAATACTATCCGTGCATACATAGAGATATCCATGCATACGAGTGGTATGTGTAGTAAGCATTATCTCTTGGACGTTGACGTAAGCCGAAAACATGCAGTCAAATGATTGGGAAGTTGATGCAATCGTGGGATGGGCAGAGTTCACCTTTGGCGTAAACCTGCATATGCTCTGAAAGAGCCTGACAAAATAGTTACTACTTCGTTATTCTTAAGCGTATTGGTTAGTAAGGCCGTCGGTCAAGAAACGAAGGCGCTCGTTCAACCTACTCCACAACCCTCTCCCCCAATCCACGTGGGAAAATCGTGGCACTATCTCTAAGATGACAAGGAGAATCGGCTCGACTAAAATTTTATGGCATTCGTAAAAATAAACGAAATCCTCAAGCAGCAGCTGAAGCAACACACGAAGTAAGAAAAATTTACCTAGAAGCATGTATTCAAACCCCTTTTTAAAATAAAATCTATTCCAACGACGAAGGAAATCGCTTGTGTTACCTTTAATCTAATTGCTCAATAGCGAGTCATGAGGATAGGAGTAAAGTCTCAGCTTAGTTTTGTCACTCGCGAAAGCTTCCAAACGGAATTCTCTACCTCGAATAACTCAAAACTTTATGCTGTTGGTTGCAGGCCCTTCATTTCCGCATTTCCCAAGAAATAAAACATTCGTGGTAAGTAGGTTAGTGACTGAAATTCTAGATGGAAGTATCGAGCAGAAATGTGACCGTACTGGGTGATGAACTAGCCTGGAATATTCACCGAATCTTGGACTATCCGGTAAGGAAATATTTGTAAATGCGAACACCAATAACACAAGCGTAAATATGGGTATAAATCTTTGTTTATTTCTTGCTTGCTTGCATAAACCTGCTTCCCCTATTGTGCGGATCCCAGCAATTCTTCCATTTTGTTCGTTGTTTTGTATCTTTCGATATCAAAGATCTTTAGATTTGTGTTTTATTTGGCTTGTTTTCCACTTGTAAACTTCTTTTTTAATATCTTTAATTGCCGGTCGATTTGATTCATTCTGGAATCAACGATATCTCTACGAGAGCGCTCCAAGCTCTTCAGCTCAAACAGCCGGCAACCCTTGTGGGTGAAAGTTTTTCAAGGATAAATTTGGCACCGATCTAGTGCTTTCAGATGATGAAAGGACTAGTTGGCAAGAGGCTAGGAACTAATGGTCGTAAACCTTAATGTAATTTATAGATATAATATTTTGCGGTGAAGAAATTACGTCAAGTTCATAATGTTTATCTTCATCACTTTGAACATTTTTCCAAGTTTAGCTTTCACTCTGGCTATCATTTCTTCATGGTAGGGTGTCATATGAAATAGAACCACTAGGAAGCTGAGATATGAGCAAAACTTTTGACCTGAGGTGAGCTTCGTACACCTAATTACACTTTTCGGTGACCCTAATCGCTGGTTCGAAGCCAGCTGAGGCTTCCAGTTTTATTTAATTTTCAGCACGGTCGGAATTGTTTTTCTTTTAAGTATTAAGACATGCAATCATAAGGATAATTTCAAACAAGTATTTTCAGTTCGTCCACAGTGCGCGGGGACACGCCATTTGACGTAGAATTTGAGTCGGCAGTGTGGCGAGAAGATTTCGAATTGTCTGTGGAGGAAAAACTTGAAAACGCGGATTTATCAATACAAGAGGAAGTTGGAAATTTGCGAAATATGACTTGTTTGCAACATAAGTCAAATTTTTTATCCCTTCTTGGTGATATACCACTTCATGATGATGATGCACACTGATGGTTGCTGAACTTCGATATACTGCAGAGGATTCATTCCTTTAAGGCACGGTGACCCTGTTTTAAAAAAAGTCCAACTTTTCCGTTTACATCCCTATCGAAAATAAACCTAAACAAGTAACTGAAATTATGCATAAAGAAGCTGTGTCATAAGTGATAGGCCTTTCTGCGATGTGGGTCTCTTTTTTGTTATCTCAAGGTTGCACTTTTCCATCTAAATAGGATTTTAATCACTGTGGAAGAGAATTTTCCTCCGATATCTTAAGTCATCAAATTATAACGTCTTCTAGTTATCGTCACAGGAAGTCACCGCTACTTGTGGTTTATGAGGAGATTAGAGATCTTATGATTTGTTTCCTTTCATAGCATTTCCAGTTATTGTTACATGACTTACTCTTAACTAAATTTCGCACGTGGAGATTTTGAATTCCTCATTCTAGATGACCAGCTATTGTCACATGGCGAATAGCACAGTGGTGGGATGCATATCATCAGGAACGCGGTAATGGTTTGATCCCGCACGTGTCTTACCAAGCCTCTCATTTCTCCGAGGTCGGGAAATTGGCAGTGAACTTGTCCGGGAAAAATCGCTTTATTCAATACAAATGGAATCACTCTACCGCAGCTATTTTAGAACTATAGGGAGAATCGACTCGCCCAGCATTCTACGACATTCAAGATAAAATGAAACTCTTCAAGCAGCAGCCGAAGCCACACGTAACAATCTGGAAGACCGTCTTGAAAGACGGATGCGGGAGACGAATCGAATGTGGGAAGTGGACTAAAACAAGAACCCCGTGCTGCACGTGATGGTTCGACGTCTACGACTATTCCCACTGTAGAACTATCTCTAACGAATGTGTAAAGAATAATAAGATTGTAGGGAGAACACACGTTTGACATATTTAAATAGTCGTCTCCAAAATAATGCCGTTGAAGGAACGATGCAGTTCATCGCTCTCGTTGACGGCGCCGTCATCTTTTTCGCAATCGACGACATTTCTACCGTCGCTTGAGCAACTTCTAGGACGGATTCCGCTGGCAAGTAGAGTGACCGTCGACGTAGGTGAGTAGTTTAAACCTCATGAAACATCAGTGCCCTTTCATTTGTCTTATTTTTCTGCCAAAAAGAAAAGACTTGACTTGTAAAGGACTGGAAGAGTCTACAAGTGTGTAATAACAAGTGTAATAACGTAGCTTACCATAAACTGAGTAGCTCACCATGAACTGATCTTTAATCTTTCTTCTTTCTTTCTTTCTTTAGAACGCTGCTTTTTTTATTCTAAAGAGTGCAGAAAACTAAAAATGTCATGGAATATACGAACAAGCTAGATTAGTGTACTTTTCGGAAATAACCTGGTTTTTTTTCACCCAAAGATTGCTTTTGCGTACTTCACTTATTTTTGTAATGAATATACGGAGGTAAATTTGCACAAATAAATACCAAAAATTTTTGAATTAGTCGATTACTACCTTTTACACACCCGCTACCAAAATCTTATTTTAAATCCGCAAAATAAGCTGAGCAACCTCATACCGTACCCCTTCTTCAAACCAACTGCGTGGATTTTCAGAAATGTCTCACCAGTCGATGCTACAGTCACTCCATGACGTCTTTGCAGTTCAGAAGCCGGATAGTGAGACGGCCATATGCGAAGAACCAAATGTATCGGCTAGTGCAGTGAAAGCATTTACACAGAAAGCGAATGCTCTGTCATCACCTGTTCACAGAATTGAGACCTCACTTCCCAGTGAGAATCTTGAAACACTAAGAAAGTCTAAGAAAGAGCGACGTCGTCGGAAGAAGCGGAGCGATGAGACGGTAGAGAATCGGGACGAGTCATTACCCGACGAACACATCGCCGACATAGCAATCGCATCGGTACCGGTGGTGCCATATGTTCCGAAAGCGGTGTTCAGCGATAATGAAATGCCACCAAAGCAGCTTGGATCGTTTGAGGCAAAGGAGAAGATGTTGCGTTCGTTGAGAGAAAAAATGGGCTCTCCAAAAAAATGAGCACATGAGTTGTTCTTCTTATCGTCACCATAGAAATATGGTTAGACAATATTATGCTAAGAAACGATAACACTGACCACATTGGTTTGGGTAAGGCACCGCTATGAGAGGGGTTTAACCATAAAACTAGGGATAGAACCGTTATTTAAAATGTGAGCTGCGTATTTCATGTTATTATCTGTTTATTATTGTGTAGGAGAAAGCTTCTCAAAGAATCCCTTACTAATTTGTTTGTATAATTATGAATTAGGCAACTTGCTTCATTCTTTAGATGTAGCATTTTTAGATATTTCAAGTATCAAAATGCCTTTTTTCGTTCTCATCAATTATCTGCTGCTTGGTTGTATTTCACCGAGACTGGTGTCATTTATGAATAAATATTTCAAATAGCAAATCATTCGTAGTCATTGCCAGGCAAGTAAGTTCTTTCGCAGTTCCGTCAAGACCTTTTCTCAATCTTTGCTTGATCATCAGAGATTATGATCGTTAGATTATTCATGGCGAGGTTCAATGAAAGTGTGAATAGAAGGTTTGCTTAGCTATGGGCCATGTAACAATAAGCCGATTTCTAAAGGATCGATTGTTCCAAACAAAAAACTGATCTCGGAAGACCATTAACCAATAATCTTTCTGTTGGACATTGACCAACGACCATTATGTGTTTTCGAAAACCTTTGAGTGAAATCAGGTCCCATCAGCGCATCTAGACTGGTACAAAAAGCGGCAGTGGTGGATAACACTACTTCACTCGTGTGATGCTCTACTGTTTGTACTCGATTCTTCCCGGTCCGACGGAGTGACTAGAGCGTGTGCCAGTAAATCTTCCACTTATCCATGCCATGTGCAAGAGTAGCCCAGTGGGGTTCTGCTCGCTCTAGGGACTCTTAGAGCAAAATAACTTTCTTCTAGGCTTTTCGTGAGAAACTGTGACCATTGGGTCGGTGGTCTTTTTGAAGTATGCTTGACATCCCGAAAAATCCAGTCACTAACGGCGCTTGTCCATCGGTTATCGTTTATGTGCATTAGGTGTCCTGTCCAGCTTACCTTCGACTGTTGGTGTACAGAACGGTATCTTTGATTTTTGGTCGTTGATGCAGTTCGGAGCTTCAGATTTCTTCCCTCACATAGGTAGTACGGGATACCACTTTCGACAGCGTGTTCGATAAAGCTGAGTTTTTTAATCTTGCTTACGTAGCGATAAGGTCTCTGACGCATACGTTAACGCAGGAAGGTTGAGCCGAAAAGGTGGGCACGGAGTCGGGTGTTCTTTGTTCCCTTCACTACATCCTCGATGCTCTTGAAAGTTCACCAAGCAGTTCTCTTTCTCCTGATCAACTCTAGAGCTATGTCGATCATCATGTTGATTTTCCGACTTAGATAGTCGTAACTCGATCATTCGGAAATATTCACTCCGTTGAGCGTGAAAGCAGCATACATAATTAAACCATTTTTCACGAACAGCGTTTTGGTGCGGTCTAGTCAAAGATCAAACTTTCCACAGGTCCTCAAACTTTCATTTCGCTTGTTAGCGCTTTATATTATGAGAACGATGTTACCGATAAAGCATAGATGGTGTAATTGCCGACCATCGATTTTCACTCCCATATTATCCTATTCCAATCTTGGCATGACGTTCTCGAGGGTGGCGGTGAATAATTTTGGCGAGCGGGTATCACTTTGACTCGCCACTTTTTTAAGGTCGACATTAATATTGTTGTAGAATAGAAAGAACATCTTGGTTAACTGTTTTTCTCTGTCTGCAAACATTACTGCAGTACTACAAAATTTATTATCGCGGAATAGTCGCAGTATTCGCGATTTTGCCTTTTTCCGAACCTGCAAAGATCAAATTGATATGCAATCTACTTAACGAAAGACTTTCAGAAGCTTAGCAGATAAGACTTACAAATTCTTGTTTGTATAATAAACAGCTCCTTTTAAGCACCCACCGTTTTGTTCGTTGTCGGCCTTCAAGTCTATTGGTAGAGACTAGCCGCGCAGAGTGTTGCATGGGCTAGCAATGTGCCTGGCTAAAGTCAGACAACCACCTAAGATGGTGCTAGACCATGCGTTATCACAATACACTTCTGCAAGCGGTTTACATTCAGTTTCCTGGAATAAATCCAGAGCACACCAAGAGTTTTCCGCGTTGATGATTTGGATTCCTCTGCGAGGATACTGACTTTACTTCAAAATCTTCCTTACATGGTAATATCTATACCAAATGGAAGGGAAGCACATGAGAGGCGGTGAGGAGTCGCCTCCAACAAATAAGCTCCATGTCCACTCTGGGAGAGCTTGGCAAGTCACCCGTGAGTATACTTAGCCCCACGTTTAGAGCCCAGCAAGCTATACGTCGGTATCAAAAAACTAAAAACAGTAAAAGAAACGGGCCTCATTCCCCTGACCCTGAAAGAGCCCCCAGTTCGGCAGCGTTGGGTAGGACGAGTACAGAGAGGTTGCTAAAATCTCGGGGCCAAAGGAAGCTGTCTGGAACACGAAGAACGAAGATGACGATCTGTACCTACAACGAGCGTACCCTTGCCTCCGAGTCCTCGATAGAATACTTAACCGTTCAAGCAACAAGGATAAGGTACGACGTCATCGGCCTGGCCGACATGAGACCATGTGACCCATTCAGCGTCTTCTATGACACCGGAGAAAAAAACGAAGTTCCACAGTCACCATAAACAGGGATTTCTTTAGTTCACTAGTCGGCTGTTGGGAAGATTCCGTACTCGATAACTTCGAAGCGGAATATTGCTACTATCTTGTTAGTCTACTACCGAGCATAAACTTTACATTCGGCCAGTTGACATGTAAATTGCTGAACCGGTGTGTCTTATTCTCTCTGGATCTGGTGTTGTTCGACTTTTTATTTAGCAAGCAGCATGGATTTAGGAAGAAAGGACAAGTGGAACGACATTTCCATCCTCGTTTATTTAATATGAGGGCAGGAGGACGTGGCATTTGAAGACATCCAAGTAGTAACGGTGAATGATTTTCTCCATTGCCTTTCTGGACGCTGTAACTGTCCCGTTTGGGCGTCGTAGTGCAGTCATTTTGGTCTTGTAATTGGCGAAGCTTCGGTGGGCTTTGTGAATGCTTTTCTCAGCCCCCTGCAGCTTCGGCCATTACTGCTGCTCTTCTGTCTTTAAGATCTACCTTTATGACCTATCTGCATTGTTTTCCAAGTTCAGATGTCAGTTCGAAGTTGCATTCAGCTGGTGAGAATCCACGCTGGCCTGTCAGCTCGAGTGTTTCTTTAGACAGACGTCTTTTGGTGACTTTCGACTTCTCAGCTTTCATAGCGCTAACGTGAAGATGTTGAATGAGCCGATCGCATTCTTCGTCGATGTTATCGACAACGGCATCTATAACAGCCGAGTAATGAATTGAATAAGTCCCATTTTGTGGTGGTTATGCGACTTCGGTTTTTGAATTTAGCGGCTTTTTCTCCTTTCTGCGAGAAATAGAATCTTGCACGAAGGAGACCGTGGTCCGATGCCTTGTAGAATTTTGGGATAACAGCGACATCGGTAAGGCAAGACCTTCTAATTACTATGATGTGGTCTATTTCGTTATGGTACTCTCCACTGGGAGACTCCCACGTCCAGCGTTGAGGGTGAAGCCTCTGGAATTAATAGTTACCATGAGTGGTTCTTGGTCGTCATGATAAAGTCAGACAGCTGTTCATCCTCGGCGCTCTGTTCTAATCCGTGGGTTCAAATGTAACGTTCTTGTGAGTCCACTCTTAGGGTTAAATTCTCCAATGCTATTTTAAAAAAAATTGTGGTTTTTCTGCGCTTCTTCAAGTCCATTTCGGAAGCTTCGAACACGTGTTCGTTATAGCTTGATGTCATCGCGTAGATGACGAAGAATGCCAGTATGGGTGCGGATCAACATCTCCTTAATCGTAAACAAGCGATTCAGGTTGTTAGTTGTTTGAATAAATCGATGTTTATGGAAAAACTCGTATTGACGGAAACGCCGACACGGCCCACTTCTATCCTGTCGCACATTCCGAGAAACAGTTCTTCACCGATGTCATATATGGCGTTGAACGGGCAGTGTCATTTCGTCTTCTCCAGTCTGATGAAATCGTACTTTATCATTTTTCTTATACGATCAGGTCTTCTATCGAAAACTCAGATGAAAGCATGCGTGCATTGTAGGTGGAGATCGACACCTTAGTGTTTTGCGATTTAGAAAGCTTAGAATGGCTGTGAGATTTTAGGACGGCAGCTTTTCCGTACTCGTCTACCCAGCGATGCCGAATCGGGGCTTCTTCGAAGTGAAGGAAATGTGGCTTGTTTTTTTTACTGTTTAGCTTTTTGATACCCACGTATAGCCTGCTGAGCTCTGGACGTGGGGCTGGGTATACTAGCTAGCTTGCCATTCTCTGCCAGAGTAGACACGGAGTTTATTTGTTGAAGGAGACTCTCAACCGTCTCCCATATAACTCACTGTCACTCGACTGCAGGCTTTTGCTAAATTGACGCGTAGAATACAATCCATGTAAACGAGCACACACCATCGCCGGCAGGGATGAATACTTTCCCGCAAATGCAGAAGGTTTGTGCTAAATCGGCGCAGCAGAAACAGGCCCCATTCCCTGAACCCAAATGAGTCTTAGGGAGCAGAGGCTGCTTTTGGCCCGCTATCAACCTCCTGTCAGTCACCTGGGTATCTAATAGACTTGAGATCTCTCTATGAGGGAGATTTGAGAGAGAAAAGAACCAGTTTAGAAAATTGTCAGCGGGTCTTGTACAATTATAATGCTTCGTTGTTAGCTCTGATGAAGGAAGATGTGATCACCAAAACTTCCGGTCACGATATGGAATTGCTAATGGACGCCTTCCACACAAACGTTTTCCGTCGCACAATCCCTTTCCCATGGCCTAAACTCTTCATTGGAGAACAATCACCTCAAATTCTTCTATCGGAGGTTCGTGTTGCTATAGAAAGCATGAAAAGCCGTGGCTCCAGGACCCGACAAT